TGGATGGGCGGAATATAACTGTTGATAGAGCTAAGCCTCAACAAGGAACAGGGAGAGATTATGATGGTGACCATAACCGTGATCGCGGACGTGGACATGATCGTGACCACGATCGTAACCGGGGCTATGATGGCAGCCGTGGATCTAATGGTGGGGAATGTTTTAAGTGTGGGAAACCTGGACACTTTGCTAGGGAGTGTCCTAGTGATGGGGCTAGCGGGGATAAGTATGGTGGTTGGGGAGATCGTTATGGTGGAGGTGGTGGTGGCGGTGGCCGTTATGGTCCTGATCGGAATGGAGATCGATTTGGTGGGCGCAGCAGGGATGTGGGCAGTCACGTGGGGTTGGGAAGTGATGGATACAATCGTGATCGTTCTGGACCTTATGAGCGTCGTGGAACTGGAGGTCCTTGGTCCAGGTAAGATGACTGCTTGTGGTATGCATATTTACTTTCCTTTTTTCTTTTTGCTTTCTAATTTCTTATATTCTTTTCTCTTTTGAAATCAAATCTGTGATTATCGTTGTATTGATGGAAGCACACTTTCATTGCAGTTGATGAAGTAAGGTTGCTGCGATTATTCTCTGCGAATCATGAAGTTTCTCTTTAATGGGATGTGCTATCTTTGTTGTTGTCTAGGTGCATAGCCTTTGAAGCGTGAAACTTGGCAAAAATATTTAACTATTTTTGTGTTCTTAAAATGTCGTGTTCCACGTTTTGGTCCGATATAGTCCTGTGCTTTCTTGACATGAACTGAATGCTCCATTTTTTGTGACTCATGCATTGTCAACAACAATTGGCATTACTTCTGTCTGACTTCTTTTTGACTTTTTTAAATGCCCAATTATGGAAAGATAGTTTGGTCGAAGAATGATGGGAAGGAGTCCACTATTTAGGTTTTACATCTTCTCACTTGAGTAAAATCTTTCTCTAGAAGTAAATGGCCAGTTTGGCTGCCTTGTTTTCATTATCTTACTAAATAAACAAGTGTCAAGTGGGTAATTTATTTTTCTTACATATTGCTTTGCTCTGTGCTAGTTTTGTTAATTAATAGTTTTTTCAGTATTAATGCTGTTAACCTTTTGGCAGGATGCTCGGCCATTTGTGGCCTTTATGGATACTTGATTGGGTTTCTGTTTTGCTAATTGGACATGGTTTTATAAACTTTAAAATTGCAAGTTTTTGTGAGCGCAACAAGGGATCTGCATACTAACTGAATATAAGCACACCCCATGTTCGTCATGGTGCACTGATGGAAGAGTTCCATTTCCTCTAAAACACATGGCAGGTTGTTTGGAAGCTATTTGATGAGTTCAGCAACTGTTGTTATTCATTCCATGAGTCTATTTTATATTGCTCTTTCGGGTGCAGATTGCCATTCTTGCTTTGCTTGTGTACTGGGCTCTAGCGTCTTAATCTTTTTGGCTAAAATTGAGGAAAGTGGTTAATATTGTTCTTTCAGCTCAGATCGTGCTTTCCTAATGTCAAAACTCTTCTGAATTTTGAGGGTTGATTTGCCTCTGGCTGTGTAGGAGATTGGTGCGTTCTTGTTAGATCTTTCTGAAATCTGGCTGAAAGGAAATTGTTCTTTGGTTCCTTCAGGGACATGAATTTTTATTATTTTTCCAACTGCAACTTGGAAGTCTGTCTTGAACCTCTGTCCTTCAATATAATGGGAGTGTGTTATAGGCATGATGGAATTTTTTCTTGGTTTACCTGTGTTGCTGCCTACATGCATGAATTGTTTGTTGAGTTCTTATTTTTGGATTATATCTACGTGCTTTCTTTTGTCCTAGGACCTACTCATGTTATACGTACTCTCAACTTGTATTCAAGTTCTTCAAGTTCTTCTTGTTGTGTTGGTGCCAGATATTTTTGGATTATATCAGTCTTTGAATTTTGGTCCCTGGAATCATACATATTTGTGCACAAATCATTTTCTTCATAATATGAAAATGGTAACCAATAATCTTCGGCAGTTAACAACAAAAATCTTATCATATAGTATAAAGTTTTTGGAGAAAGCACAATAACAGGGATCATCTTGGCAAAAATTAAAAAGAAAGTTGAATTTAGCACTCATTTGACACAGTAATAAAAAGTAACGTAGTGCACTGGCCGTGTTATTCAAAAACTGTCCAACTACTACAACACTAAAATGCCCTTTTAAGTTTGGTACTCTGTGATATCATTGGAAAATGAAACTAAAAAACTTCCATTCTACAAAACTGAATGTGCTGATGCAAGGATAAATCCACAACAAAATTACCATACTTAGTTATCTCTCTGTTAAGCATGGTGTCAACAAGGTTAGTGCTTCAAAAACTTGAGTTTTAAGCAGTAACCGGTTGCTTCTGCACAAATGCTATTCCCTTCTCAATGCTGGCCTTCAATTCTGGCTTCAGAGCTTCCAAAGCCTTCTCTTCATACTCAGATAACCCTGTAAGGTCTGATGGAATCAAAGCTTCAATCCCTTTCCTTCCAAGCTTGATCCTAGATGCAAAGAATGGAAGATCAGTCAGATCTGACTGCACAAAAGAGCACTCGTAGACGTCCCCATCTCCATCCAAAGCACGAAGGGATGATTCAACAAATCTTGCTGCTGCATAGGCCATGGACAGGGTGGCAGACCCTGCACCTGCCTTTGCCTCCACAACCTCTGTCCCAGCATTTTGAATCCTGACAGTTAGTTGCTTCACTTCTTCATCAGTAAAGCTAACAGAGGGTTTTGTCTTTGACAGCAAGGGTAAAATGGTGATACCAGCATGTCCCCCTACAACTGGAACATCCACATCAATGAGCTTAAGGTTTTTCTTCTGAGCAACAAATGTGTTGGCTCTGACAACATCCAATGTGGTAACACCAAAAAGCTTCTTTGGATTATAAACACCCTTTTGCTTCAGAACTTCAGCAGCAATTGGTACCGTGGAGTTAACTGGATTGCTAATAATATGGATGAAGGCATCAGGACAGTTATCAGCAACAGCCTCAACCAAGGTCTTCACAATGTTGGCATTGATGTTGAAGAGGTCATCACGAGTCATACCGGGCTTTCTTGGAACTCCAGCAGGAATAACCACTACATTCACACCTTTCAAACAATTTCCTAATTCAGAAGCACCAGTGAAATCCAGAACTTGAGAAGGAGTATTGCAGTGACTGAGATCAGCAGCAACTCCCTTGACATTTGCTATATCATAGAGATTCAGGGCTGAAACCAGCGGGGACATCTTGATTAGAAGTGCCAATGGCTGACCAATCCCTCCAGCAGCTCCAAGTATAGCCACTTTGTAAGATGCCATGGGCTGTAGGCCATACTGAGACCTGTGGTTTGCTTTCTGTGCTTTTGGTGTAAAAGAGCCTTTAAGAGCTGAGCAGCTTTCCTTGCCTAGGAAGGAAGATCCTGATTCACAGTTCACAGATGTTGCTGCCTTGAGGCCACTGAAACTTGCAAATGAATTCTGGGAGGTGAACCTTACAGAAAAAGGTTTTGTTTGTGAAAGAGGGCTCCCCCTGCTTCCAAAGGGGACAGTTGATCCAATTGAGAAGATAGTTGTTGATGTTGTTGCCATCTCACACTATAAAAGAGGAAAAATTGTCAAGGCCTAGCCTACTGGTAAATCCAGAAATCAAGGAAAATAATCATCAAGCTGAATGACTCGTATCCAAAATGCATGTTCTCATTTTCAAAGTAAAGAGAAGCAGACGTGACAGAAAAACAAATAGATGCCAAAGAAATAAACATGAAATGCATATATAAGTCAAGCTTGCATTCTAAAATAAAAACCAGAAAAGTAAGCATCTACTTCTATCTTAATAATTGAGAACGAGTATTTAAAGAGAACTAAAAGCAAAAGGAACTAATAGATCCATTATGCCTTTAAATCAAAGACTGAAAGCAATAGCAGGGGGCTTCCATGCAACCAAAGGTATCAACTCGTATTCACTTTCATTTCAAAGAAAAATGAGCCATCCTAATCCTACGCAAAATCCTTCTGCACTCGAGAAAATTAGATCCTAGAAACCATAGAGAAAAATATGAGATTCCATTGCTTTTGCAGCACGTCTAGTGGACAACAAAGCTATTAAAAAAGACAACCATGCTTCTTCACTATATAAGATTTGATGCCATTTCCCATTAACTTGGTTTTAGTTAACATATTATTTCTTTTAATCATATTCCAAATATCATTTTCACAAACTTGAAATAAACAATAATGAAAATGGGATCAAATATCCCTTATCTATAATTCACAAATCTCGAATGTTGAATCCTGGAATTTCACTATTCAAGACCATCTTTCCACTTTTACAAATCATTGAAAATAATAGCCGGGTAGCATTAAGAAACAAGTTCCTCTTTGCTCCCAAACATTTACTCAGGCAACCGAAGAAAAATCAACAAACACTTTCCCCAAAAACATAGCATATTTTTCACGAGATACCCTCAAGGCATACATATCTATAAAAAAATTATAGCATAAACTAATCATAAATGAGCAAAAAAGAGAAACAAGAATCCAAAGTTCCATGCTGAAAATGAAAGAAACACAAATCATATAGAGAATCGAAAGCAACAGATCTAATCAATATTGCATCTTAGTCCTCTACTATGAAAAGATTACAAGGAAAATGAACATCTTAAAAAGAAGAAAATAATACAATAACAATCAGAAACAACAAAAAAAACCAAACCAGATCATACTTCAGATAAATAAACAAAACCCACATTTTATTTTGCACAAAGAAACAAAACTCATAGTTTTGATTTGAAGAATTATAACTCCAAATGAAGATCAAAAATAAAATTAAAAAAAAAAAAAACCTTTGAGATCTGAATAGAGAGAGAGAGCTAGCTTGAAGGAAACAAGCAATAGATAAGAAAATTGGTCTTTTTTTCCGCTTTTTTATTTATAGGAAACTCCACCAATGAGCTTTGAACAACTCACCAAAATTTTCAACCTCACCTACTCCTTTTGCTTCAATATTTTCTGTTTCCCGATTTTTTTTCTTTCTGTGTTCCGAGTACGCCGCCACTGTGTGGAAAGAACCTACAAAAAGCGTCGTTTTTGTTTTTGTTCTCTTCTTCTTTTTTTTTTTTTTTTTTTTTTCACGTTCTGTTTGCCAAGCAGAAATCGTGGCCGATAGTTGAAACGATGATTTCTACGGCTTAGATTAAAGTTCGCTTCTTTCGCTTTTGCTTGCCTTTTCCGACGCTTTTTAATTGATCTTTCGTTTGGTAGTTTGTTTTGTTTTCTTGTCCCTTGTCCGGTAATTAGGTTACTTAACATCAGAAAATCAGATTTTATTTGGTGCAGCTTTTGAAATTTATATATTGTTTATTTTATATTAAAATATAAAATTATCATATTATAATTTACATTAATATATCAAATATAAAGTGTATATATATATATATGTTTACGTATAAGCAATCAAAATATAATTTGGATTCATGCAATTTAATATCTTAAAATTAAATTAAGATTTTATTATAGTATCCTAATGGTATAATGGAATATTCTTTGAATTACTAACATTAATAAAAGTTTGAAAGGAAAAGGATGAGATCACCAATTGGTACTTTCTTTCAATTACTAACATAAAAATGAATTTGAGAGGACAATGCTAAGTTCACCCCACACTTAAGCCATCGTAATAGATGACATTTGCATACATGGGTGACACCAAGATTTACCACATAATTGGTGTGGTTGTTCTTTCCTCTATTTAATTATGTTATTTAACCATTTTCAACTTTCAAGTCACTTTCTAAAAGAAACTTAATATATAATTATAATGTAGCAATATCTTCGCTTCAATTGATACAAAGCTTGAATGAATCCAAAGTTTAAACAAATTTAGATTGATTTATTTAGTCACTTTTTGTTAAAAAATATTTTTAAAATATGAAACTATGATTAAATAATAAATTTAATCAAAGAAAAATCTAATTAAACTATACGATGATTTAAGATAAAATTTCAAAGATTAATGATATGATTCTAGATTTAAAAGAATTATATTAAGAAAATTATATATGTAAAAAGTCAGATTGTCATATTTAGAAGAGTATGTTGCTTTAAGTTTTCAAGGAAAGCAGTCGATTGCTAGAGACATTGAATCAACTGTTTTGACAAATATAAACTAAATATAAATTTTATATAAATAACTGTCGACTGCCAACCTAAAACAATCAATTGTTAGAGCTGAAAGTAAGTAGAACCAATTTCAAACACTAATGAAATCGACTGCTAATATTTATAGAATCTTTTGGAAATTGATTTATACCATAATAATCGACTGTCATTGAAGAGGAATCCATTACTCTACGGGGGGTTGGATTTAGAACCTTTTTGGAAATTGAAAGGAGTAATGGCTTCATAAAGCAATTGACTACATATGTGTCAAATGCATTAGAATCTTTATAGAAATTGAAAGGAGTAATAATTTTTCTTTATGTTAAATTCAAATGAATAAATATATTTATAATATTTCAAAAAGACATATTTTTAATAAAAAAAAAAGTAATCTTTGATTGAAACAATATAATCAAAAGATCACAACCTTAAAATTTAATCTTTATAAATAAAAATTGATGTGAATTCATTTGGACAATACAATGCAATTCAATTCATAATAACTCCATTCTTCCTCCCAATCCTTTCTCAATTAAAAGCAAATTTTTTTTAGTATTGTTTGCTGCAGAAAATCTTTAGTATTGTTTGCTACAGAAAATCTTGTTAAAGATAAAGTATTTTCGTTTTTACCAAGGAATATTTAGTGATTTGTTTTACTAGTTCAAAGTAAGAACAAACCATGATTTTTAACAGAATGGAAGACCAGTTATCGAAAACTAATGATGTTTATCTTATACGTTTAGCTTTTCCATTTCCTTCCTAAGTGCATTGGCTACACCAAACTCCCGATGGTATTCACACCCAACTTCAGATCCTCCAATGGATTCCCAGGTGCCACTGTCATGTACAAGTAACTGTCGAATGTCATCTTCTGCACATACTCATCCGCTCACATCCCCACGAAAGCTTCCCTTGCAGGATTTGATCTGTAGAAAACCTTCTGCAGGACATCCAGTACCTTGTAAGTAGGCCAGTATGTCTTGTCCCACTTCTCCAAGTACTTCCTCAAGTCTCCTTCATCCACCATCTTCTTCCCACGCTGTGACCCCTCAGTTATGGCCTCAGCACACATTCTCCCACTCTTAGCTGCAAAATAGATACCTTCACCTGAGCATTTGGTCACATATCCAGCTGCATCCCCAACTAAGGGTACTCTTCCTGATAACCTGCGTGGACGAGGGTGCTCAGGAATTGGGTGTGCCTCCACTAGTATAATCTTACCTCCAAGGATCTTGTCCTTTGCTCTGTTTCTAGTGGCTAGCTGGAACTTCTTGATGTCACCCTTGTGAGTCACTGTGCCAGTTCCAACTGCAACATGATCACATTTGGGGAAGACCCAACAATAGAAATCTGGTGAGACATCATCTCCCACATACATTTCAGCAAGATTCTCGTAGTACACCATTTTGTCATCAGGGATTTTAGTTCTCTCCTGCGATTACAATGAGATTTTATGAATCAGTCGATGTTGTAGTGTAATTCTGTGGAATAGTAATATTTCAAGTAAAACCCCTTGTTCCCTTTGCCAACAACTCTTTCAGTCCTTGACCAAGAACATAAATTATTTGATGAGATCTATCATATCCTTTCAAAATTAAAAAAAAAAAATCAAATAATATTACCCCTAATAAAATATACTTTAACATTCCAATGGTTAGGGGAAAACCTTGTTAGATTTTTTGTTCAAACCCCCACCTTACATGATTTTGTTTAATTATATGCAGCACGACAATCTATGTCATTTCATATCAAATACAAGACAATTATCATATCAAATTTGTGTTTACAAGTTAAACATGAAACATATTTGTTTTTAGTTTTTATTAAATTCATATACAGTTTTTGCTAAAAATTTAAATAGTGATGCTTTCATTTTTTTTTTGTCAATCGTTATCGTGTAATGCAGATTACTAAATTCAATTATTTTCCAATTTCTCAATTAGTGCTATGTGTTAAAGGATGTTTGATTATGATGGTAATTTCTACTCGTCCATCCACCAATATATTCTCTGCAAAAATAAACACAACCAATAACCCAAAAAAAAAAAGGGAAAATTGTATTAAAAAGAAAACCTATGTGTGAAAATATATACCTGAAATGCAATAGCATAATCATAATCGCCAGCATTAATGGCTTTAGCAATACGAGAATTAGCCCCATCAGCTCCAATCACAGCATCAACTTTCAAAGTAACTTTCTCACCCATAGCACCCTTCTTCCCATCATACTCGGTATAATGCAGGTATAATGCAAAATGTAAGGCTCATCCAAATCTTGGGCTTGGGCATATCCATCTTGAAGAACAACCCATTTATGACATTTGCCCCATTCTCCCTCGCTCTCTCCCTCAAGTAAGCATCCAACACTTCCCTTCTCACCATCCCAATGTACTCGTGCGGCTTCAGCGTTTGACCAATGTCAACAGCTACGTTGGATGGAGAAATCATCGTCATTTTGGTGACTCACCGGTCGATGATATCCAATGGCAGGTCAAATTCACCCACCATGCAAAGTGGGATGGCTCGCCTGCAAGGTTTGCAGTTGTCGAGTTTACGCTCTACGAGGAACGTTTCGATGCCACACTTTGCGAGAGTTTCAGCGGCTGATCCTCCCGCCGGACCACCGCCTATGACGCTACCCTGAGGTTGCGGTTGCTTAGTCTTGGAGAGGTTTTGGCAGCTGACACATGGAATTTGATTACAGGTTTGGAGAGGGTCGTGGAGGTGGTAGTGGTTGCAGGCACGGCGGAGCTACGGCGGAGGCCTGTGAAATGTCTGAAAGCAATGGAGCTCATGTTTGAGAAAGTGAATGGCAGAGTTTCGAAAGTGTCAGCAACGTGCGAAGAACTTTGGAGTGATTTTGTAATAAAATGGCGGATATGGTTAGGGATATGAGTGGCAAATTGGATTAGGAGAGTGGACGGTGAGGATTTTATTCTGGATAATATGGGATAGATTTTGATTTTTCTCTCGAATTGAATGATTTTTTGTGGCTAATTTTATGCCACGTCATGTACTTTTGCACGTGAGTGACACCAAGTGGATTTTTTTATTCCATTTTTCTTATAAAACCAAAAACATAAAAAAGGAGTAAACTAAATATGTTGAATAAAAATGAAAAATGTGGTCAATTTTTCATACAAAATATTCATAATTCATAATTTTCATCAATTAAAATTAAAATTAAAACTAAAGTTTAATTTAATTTTTTTATTGTAAAATTTAAGATTCAATTTCTTTTTGCTTTTCATTACTCTAGAGGTTTTTATTTTCGTTTTATTTTAATATTTAATCTATAAATTGTTTCAAGCCTTTTTTTTTTTTTTTTTTTCAATTTTCGTCCTTCACTCATTTTGTCGTTCATATGACTAGTCATTTGAATTTTTTTTAATTATTAATGAAAAAATATAATAAAATAATCAACATATAATCGCTTTAAAGTTTAAGAATTCAAATGAAACAATTCAAAAATTAAAAATTAAAGTTGAATAAAGTTAAATTTTAGAGAACATAAATGAAATTTATGTTATTGTAAATGTTGTTTAGACTTTTCAAGTTGGGAAGAACACTTGGCGATTGGCACTTCAATCAGGGGCTACTGCCATTTGAATAAAGGCTACTGACCAACCCAACATGCTTTAAACTTGAGCCTTCAACGTGGTGGTATGACTTTAATTAGAAACCCTTTATCCCATTAGCATACTATTTTTTCTTAGTAACCCTTTTTTTTTTTTAAATAATTACTAATTTTAATATCTAATTTATTCAATTAATAATTTCATTATGTTTTAATTATTTTATCCTTACCTCTTTTATTTAAAAAAAAAAAAACAATTCATCAATTTTAAATAATGCATTTAATTACAGATTAAATAGCCAAGTAAAAAATGGGCTGGGCTTGAT